AAGTGGATGGGGCGTTGCACAATCCGAATGGCATAACCAGATACTCATAGTGCCCCTGGTGCGTACGAAATGCTGTCTTCGGAATGTCAGCCTTGTGGAGTCGAATCTGATGATAACCAGCTCTCAGGTCGAGCTTTGAGAAGTAGCGTGATCCAGCTAACTCATCGAGCATGTCGTCGACGCTCGGAATGGGAAATCAATCCTTGATAGTTGCGGCATTCAGAGCTCGATAGTCAGTACAGAACCTCCACGTGCCATCTTTCTTTTTAGGTAACAGGACTGGAGAAGAAAACGGACTCTTGCTATGCTGGATTAGTCCTGACTCAAGCATCTCGGCCATCTGCCGTTCGATCTCAGTTTTCTGAAAGTGAGCATACCTATATGGATGGACATGTATGGCATGCTGCTCATTGATCAGGGGTATGCGATGATCGAACTCTCGGTGTGGCGGTAGTCCCTTAGGCTCGCCCAGTACTCCCTCAAATTCCTCGAGAAGCTCGCACACATCTCCTTGTTGTTGTTCATCTCGATCTATGTGCGCCTCGGTTTTCTCGACTACTACTGCAAATATTTGGCCTCCACCTCGCCAAACTTTTTCAATGCTCTTAAGTCCTACCTCCTTGGTACCTTTTTCATTGCCAGTACTCAGAGTGACTTGTTGACCTCCATAGTTGAACTCCATAATTCCCGTTCGATAGTCGGTAGTCACCTTGTCTAACCCTTCGAGCCACTGTACTCCTAGAACGACATCCGGTCCAACCAAAGGTTAGGCATAGAGGTCAGCCTTAACTGTAACTCCGTTGAACTTGATTGGCACCTTCCGGAATGACTCAGTACATTGTAGCCTTTCTCCATTGGCCACTCGTACTTCAAAGGGCTCGATTTTTGTGGTTGGTAACTTCAACTTTTGAGACAAATCAGCATTGATGGAATTATGTGATGACCCGTTGTCTACAAGTACGATTACCCTTTGATCCTTGACCCATGCTGGTAGTCGCATCGTTCTTGGCCCTCTGATTCCGGCCATAGCATGCATCGAGATCTCAGGTTCTTCATTAACTGCTTCCAAGTTGTCCTCTGGGTTCGGTTCTTCCTCGATTTCATCTTCCTCATCGTCGGGATTGGCTACTTCGATCACAAAAGCTTGTTTACACTGATGGCCTGGTGTATACTTTTCTTCACATTTGAAACATAGGCTTTTCTCGCGTAGGCGTTTAACTTCCTCGGGAGACAGCCTCCTTACTATCGACCCTACCGGCCGATTGCTGACGTTCGGCCATGCGCTGGCCGTTTCCTGGCTCGGTCCCGTGCGTCGCATGTTCGTGAATTGCACATCCGCTCGTCCCCTTCTCGTGGCGAC